GGCGGCTGTTTCAGCACTGATTTTAGGGCCGTCGTACCATTCACATAAATCTTTCCAAGCTAAATGACCATCATTTGTTGTTTCGTGTTTCAATACAAGATGGTATGCTGTGCCATTGTCAGTAGCATTTGCAAGAATTGAGTACACTATCTGTTTTCGGGAAGCATCTCTTATTTCATCATTAGTTCCTTCCCCCAATAACACACTCTTAAACCCTCCCGAATAGAATGCTGCTCTGGTTGCCGTTTTCCATTTTCTCCAATGTAAATAGTCTCCAGAGAAATCCTTAACTTCTGGAGACTTCATCTTCAGATTTTCTTCAGATGACGTTTCATTCCTTTCCATAACCTATTCCCACTTCAGTATCTTTTCCTTTAATTCCTTCATTTCTGATCTGTCGACTAATGTCTTTTCTTTATCTTTGTCTGTGCCTGTGTTAACATATGGTACCAAAGTATGCTCCGGTACTTGATTATGAACTGTTACAATGCTCGGCGTTGTTTATATGTTCCGGTGGGAGTGTTTGTAAGGTTTCTTTTTCATCATCTTTGCATCGGGAGTTAGTTTTTGTTGTGTATTCTTCCTCTATGGTATCTTTGACCGCGTGAATTATCATGTCGAATAATTTATTCAGTGTTACTCCAGTTATTACTAAAATAGCAATTATCCCAGTCAAAGTGAGATAATGGTTTAGTTCAAATTTGGAGAACACTTCAATGAAGTGACTGGATACTATGGTTGGTATCATAGTTATTAATTCAGTTTGGTGTAGTGTGCGACTGTTAATCAAGAGAATGTTTGTTTTGTGTTGTTTAATATTGTGTTTATTAGAATTGTGAGCACTGGAAACTATCTTTACGAGAATAATCGGTTTACACTGTAAAGCATGTAATACCGATATTCACCAGTTTCAGGATTACAATGCAATCAGATCTTTGATGCCGGCTTCTTCATTTGAGTCTTGATTGCTTTGTTCCATGTGGATTCATTGGTTAAACGAGTGACACGGTTCAACCTTGGTTCAACCGTATGTTAACCATATGAATCCCTTATCATTCATTGGGCTATATAAATAGCTGTTCGATATATTTAGCTGCAGCTGTTCTCATATGGGCCCAGCTGTTGTCATAGCGCGCCGTGAGAACACGTATATATGGTACGTTTCGCTCGTACGTATGTTTCTTTTATGTATGAACATATATTCTGTATTTCGCGTTCTTATTGATGAACGGTGGCCAACTAAGTTAAATCCAACAACAGTCTCTGAGTCAACCCCTAACTTATCAACTTACTCAGAATGGATCCAGCTCCAGCAGAGGTCCCCTKGTGAGCCATGTCTCCCTACAATCCAACAGAAATGCAGGATTGATAGTCCAATTTCAGGGACCTAATCAGCAGTGGTGACCAAACCAAGTGAAAGAAGCCTTCTTTGAATTGCMTCTGACACCATAGACTCACTCACCAGAAAAGAGCCTTGAGTTCTTTGGTCTTGATAATGAAGAAGCACTTAAGAATCCTACAGCAGTCACATTGAGAGCTCTGAACCCAGATTTGCTACCAGCAATTATACTTGTCTACAATACAATCCAAGACCTCCAACAATGCAAACATTCAAAGTTCTTTTGGACAGTGGAAGTACTATGTGTCTGATTCACGAGCGTTRSCTTCCACCAGGAACAGTCCCCTTCATGGATAARATCAGCTCAGTCACMACAACMGCYCAAGGAAGCTTCAACACCTCCATATATGTATTCATATCAAAGATACAATTTCCAGAGATTGGAAATGGCAAATACATCAAAGGAATCAATGGAAGGCTCTTCTCAGCTCCTTGAAATTATGATATGATTCTTGGAAGAGACTTCCTACAAATGACCGGGATAGACCTCTTCTTTTCCAAAGGAACCATCAAATGGTTGGATTCAACCATAGATACGAAGCCAGTGGATCATTTCAATGACCCCCAGCAAGTGGCAGAAGCCATGTGGCTGACAGAGGATGATGAATTCCTGGATGGTGGATTCCTAGAGTTTCATCTACTCCCCCCAAGCTGCTGACAACAAGATTGCAGACGTGCAGCCAGCTCAGACAGTTATTTAGCAGGCCCAACTGGCACTGCCAGAGCTACTGGTGGAACAGAGCTTAACAAAATACTGGATGCAAAATACCAGGGAGTCACTCTTTTAGAGGTTGCAAACCACCAGGAGCACATGACCAACACAGAAAGACTAGCATTCAAGAAAATGCTAGCCAAACACCAGGAGTTGTTTGATGGCAAACTTGGCAGATATCCTCATGAAAGGATCCACATCAATCTCATAGAGGATGCCAAACCAGTTTATATAAGACCATATCCAGTCCCTTACAGACACCAGAAGGCGTTCAAGAAGGATGCCAACATCTGGTAGATGAAGGAGTGATTGGTCCCACATGCAATTCAGAATGGGGCTTTCCGGCCTTTATCATTCCCAAAAAGGATGGATGAGTGAGATGGCTTATCAGTCTCAGAGAGTTAAACAAGAGGATCAAGAGACCTCAGTTTAACCTCCCCACCAGAATCCAGGACATCATGAACCAAAGACAACAGTACAACCATTTCACTAAGATTTATTTATCTATGATGTTTTACTGCTTTGAACTGGATGAGGAAAGCCAGAAGATTTGCACACTCACCACGACCCATGGCAACTACAGATGCCTACGATTACCAATGGGCCTTAAATCATCTCCAGATTATGCCCAAGCATTCATTACAAAGATCCTATCTGGATTAGATCTTGAAGTATTTGGACTCGTGGTCCCTTCACTCAGCATCTCTCACTAGTGGATCCAGTCATACATCAGAGATTAGTGGAGAATAGAATGAAATGCAATCCGCTAAAATGTGAATGGGCAGTAAAGGAATCTGATTTCCTGGGATATTGGCTTACCCCCACCGGTGTTAAGCCATGGCAAAAGAAGGTGGATGGAATTCTCAAGATGGGAATTCCCCAAAACCAACAGCAAGTGAGGTCCTTCTTGGGTGCCGTGAATTATTACAAATCCATGTGTGCAGCTGAGGAAATCACATGTACTTGCCCCACTGACAGCCCTCACAGCAGGATCCGCACCCTATATTTGGACGCCTGAGTGTAATCAAGCATTCAAGGAGATGAAAGCCTTGCTCGCTCATTATGCTATCAACACCTTTGCAGACTTGGAAATCCCTTTTGACATTTACACCACCAATGCTTCAGACTATCAACTTGGAGCAGCAATACTCCAAAAGCAGAGACCAATTGCATATGGGTCAAAGAAGCTCAACAAAACCTAAAAGAACTACACTATGACGGAGAAGGAACTCCTAGCAGTGGTCCTTTGCCTCAAAGTACTATATGCATGAATAGTACTTTATGATATGTATGTACTAGGAACGGTGGTAAGTCCATCCATTCTGAGGGAGCATCGTATGTACGTATGCTTCCAATACAGTACGTACGTATACTTCCAATACAGTACATGCGTATCAGCATCCTCCTTGTAACAATTTGGTTCCTTTTTGGTTCCAGGTGGAACTAAGTGACAGCTTTATGTTCCGGGTGTAAATTAAGACTATCATTCCGCGCGTAGAGCTGTGTATATTTTGTACTGCGAAAAAGCTGTCACGTCTTACAACGTACTCAAACTCGTACTGGAATATCACAGAATTCGAACTCGATTCCGCACGAAATGTCTCTGTTTCAGACTCTCGATGGTACAGTACACAATACAACGAGCCGAAAGGGTGATTTAAATTATTATCATTGAAGTATTTGATATTGTGATGATTAGAACACATTCCCAAGAGGAACGCGCCTCTACGCCAATAATTTCCAATCGTAGTCCTCCGAGAGAACAATCCGAAAGCGTCGGCAACTTTCCGCTTCTGTACGCTGGAGAAAGCGGGAATCTAGGTGATAAATCGAGCGGGTCGTATGAAAAGAATCGTTATAGCAATCACAACAGCGAAGACACGCTAGGCGGTAACAATGGTAACAATTGCCAATCAATCGGAGACAAACCTAATTCTATCTCCGCGAACGCACCTAAATTTTCGTGTCCAGACGAGGAACCGATCATTCTTCATAGGTCCAGAATTGATTCGTTTCAAAAGGAATGTGTAAACAACGAGAAATCGGGAGAAATCGAAACAATCGGGCGGAGAAGAAGAGGGAAAGCCGGTGGTCGCCACCGAAACCATCGTCGACGTCCACTCTTTTCACTATCTTCGTGGAAATTTTTACTCTTGTTCCCGACTACGAACGCCAGAAAGCGCTCCCAGAAACCGAGCAAATCGAATCTAGCTTCCATAGTTCAAACATTTGGGAACAATGTCGAGCAAGAAGAAGAAAACAGCGATGGACTCGTCGTCAGCAGCAGTATCAACAACAGAAGCCTACATGATATCACCGACAAAAACCTTTTTTGCCGTCTGGTCTATAATTTTTTTCACTCAGCACTACCTATCAATATCTTGCATCGAATAAGAACTACGGGGCCTTCATTCTTTTTGCACACTGCCTTAAATGGCAACTTCAAAGCTCCTAACCTGTATCAATCTAAATCACTCGTCGCCTCGAAGAGCCAGCAGCTACATCTGCAACGCCAAAGACGGCGCCGGTCGGCTCAGAGGAGAAGGGAACGGCCCGTGTGCATTTCAGGATTACCGAACCAGGGGCAAACCTGTTTTTTAAATTCGGTTCTCCAATCGCTGGCGTCCTTGGAACCCTTTTTGGAGTATCTGGAGGGAATCGTTCAATTCCAGGAAGAAATGGAACACGTTGCAACGTCTGCATCGCTGTCGTCGGAATCAAACGACGGAAGCTGCGATACCAGTAGATACAGGAGCCTCCTCTTTTCATACAATACGAAGGCGCAGGCGCATTCATCAGCATCGACTCCGACGTTTACCAAGCAACTGTTGGATCTGTTGAAGGGAATCAACTCCGTGGAAGAATCGATCGAAGACGATGAAGAAGAAAGCAATGGCACGTTATTGATTGACGGGGGAAACGAACTAGCACCAACAGGATTCCAATCCTTTTTCGGCCAAAGAATGTGGAGCAGGAGACGAAGAAGACGACGAAGGAAGAAACTAGAGCCCAAGGCCCTCTTGCGTCGAATAGCTAAAAGCAACAAACAATTTTCTACGGACGGGATGCACGAGCAACAAGACGCTCAAGAACTATTTGCCTCTTTGATGGAAGTTGTCATCCATGATTCTGAGTTGGATGCATCTCCATCAGATGGGCGCTTAGAAGCTGTATCGGATGACGGATACGAAACGACTATCTTGTCGCTTTCTGATCTTCTTATTCAGCTTGGAAACGAACGAAACAGGTTTGTAGACGAGTCCAACGGCGATTCTCTAAGTCTCATAATGGCTAACAAGTCATTTGACATCCTTACAGAGCAACATTATGATTATCTGGAAGAGAAGAAAAAAGAACTTAATGAATTCATGGGCAGTGAATTAACTAATACGGCCTCGTCTCGAAGGAGTAAAAATGAACCCCAAGGTGAAAAGAAGTGGTGCAGAACAAGTAATCGATTACCCTCGAATTTCCCACAAACGAATTTCAGGTATGGAAAGAAAGCGATGAGGAGCACCATGTCTCCTATTACGCCGTCTCCGTTGTCTGGCTGGCTTGGTTCTACCCTTCGATGTTCAAAATGCAAACACGTCAGACCGATCCAAAATGCACCCTTTTTGGATATTCCCCTAGTGCCAACTTCCGTACCAAACTATCTGTCTAAAGCATATGGATCCACAGCAAAACCTGTTTCTCCCAATCTCTCACACATCCCTTCTTGCTCGCTGGAAGATTGCTTCGAGAATTTTACACGTGTCGAACGGGTCAAAGATGTTGAATGCCGGTCCTGTACGATTCGACAAGAAATTGCCAATCTAGAAGAAGAAGCACTGATGCTTCAAGGAGCGGTAGGAACGACCGAGAGAAGAAGAAACAAAAGGATGGGGGGAAGTAACAAACGAACAAGTGAACTAGAACCTTTCGAGCAGACCAAGTGTTTGCGGGATGATCTAATCAAAGTCGAGAAGAGACTTTTCAGACTCAAGACAATGGATCCAGATGACGATAGTGTCGATCCATCCCTAGCTCCTTTCGTATCAGAAGTCGACAATATGATTTTATTTGACTCTTCAGATCACGATGAGAACATATCAATACAGCGATTTGAAGCAAAGAAGTGCCTTTTGTTAACAAGAAGCCCGTCTATCCTGTGTTGTCACGTCCAACGTCGCTACTATGATCCATTTACGAATCGAATGGAAAAGTGTGTTCAGTTTGTCGAATTCCCGCTAATTCTAGACTTGAGTCCATACTGTGCATATGGGCAAAAGTCCATAACACCATGGGCAGCAGGGTCATGCATGAAAGATGTACGAACAAACGAGCGAAGGCCACCATGGAACAAAAGAAACAATTCGACCGCGAGATTACCTTATAGGCTTCGGAGTGTGATTGAACACCGAGGAAACGCTTACGGTGGACACTACGTCGCGTATCGCAGAGACCACACAGGAGCGTGGTTTTGTATCTCTGACAGTAGAGTAACCCCCGTCACTTGGGAAAATGTTCAAAATTGTCAGGCATATATGCTTTTTTACGAGGCCTTATGAATGGTTCAATCTGGTTGGGTTGGAATGTACGGTACTGGACGTTGCAGCAACACAAATTCAGGGACGTTCGGTATCAACAATTTTACCACGCCAGCCATGCTACCAGGCAATACTGTGATAGTGGGAATTGAAGGTTGCTGGCCCCGTAAAGAGAGTATTCAGTGATGAGCAATATCGAGTCCAACGGACGGCAAGTTGGGGTAGGGGGTTTAGGGAAATCAAATATTAATCATTTTTTTATGGTAGGAAAGATATCCTACGAGAAGTGGACGGTACAATTTTTAAGGTACGTACCGTACTCCTCTCGTCTCATTGGGAACCGGTACTGATAAGAGTAACGTGAGTACTAATACTAAAAATATCAGTTACCAATCACTACTAGATTGTAGCTATAATTGCTACCAGATAGCGACCAGAAATGCTACCATAATATATGCTACGCGACCAGAATTTTTTTTAATTCTCTCAGCCCCCCCTTTGAGTATCGAATTTCATACATAGCTTCAGGGACTGTTCAAATGGGTCTAAGTAGTGTCTTAAGTGGAGTCTACTTATCCCATTCCAGTAACGGATCTAGTAGCAAAGGTACGTGGTAAAATCGTCGATACCAAACGTCCCCTTGGATGTATTCTTCTATGGAAAATACAAAATACTATGTATCCTACCGGTGGGCTCGGCGTGTTTCCGGCCGTGTCAGTCGTATGTTTTTAATTCAGATATTCAGCCTTGAATACCTTTCAATATTCTTTACCTTCTATAACCCTTCGTATAAATGAATCCGTCTTTTTACTAGGATTTAATTCATGTGCTTCCGTTGGCGACCAAGATAAAGTTCAAACTGCCAGTTTCACACTAAAACATATATTCTGTTAAAATTGACTCAAGCTTTGCCGTCTGTTGTCCATTGGACTTGCCCACAAGACCTGATAGCTTCTTTGTGCGTCATCCGAACCTCAGACATGGAGCTTTGCGCTGGCCTAACCCCCCAAAACCAGACAAAGAGACGCGCAAAGCTCCCAGGTCTGGGGAGATCTGGTAGTTTTTTGGGAGCGTTGTTTGTTGTTCGATTACCGCCTAGACATGGGAGGTTTTTGCGTTTATGCTTCCGTTGTTCAACTGCCCCCACACCTTGGGAGCTTAGTGCATCGCTTTGTCCGTTGCTCAACTCCCTCCCAGACCTGAGAGCTTTGTGCGTTGCTATATCCCTTGTTCGACTGCCTTTCTCCCTTGTTTGACTCCATCCCAGACCTGGGAGTTTTGTGCGTTGCTCTATCCGTTGTTCGACTGCCCCCACACCTTGGGAGCTTTGAGCATCGCTTTGTCCGTTGTTCGACTCCCTCCCAGACCTGAGAGCTTTGCGCGTTGCTATATCCTTTGTTCGACTGCCCTCTCCCTTGTTCGACTCCCACCCTGACCTGGGAGCTTTGAGCATTGCTTTGTCCGTTGTTCGACTCAACCCCCAGACCTAGTAGCTTTGCATCGCTTCGTCCGTTCGATTCAAAGGCCAGACAAAGTAGCGAAACTATTTGGTCGCGGGATTCAAAAATTAAGAATTCAACACATGTACCGTTGGTACCGATTTATAACAGGTTATGAGTCAAGTTTTCGCGAGCCATTTTTAGTAACCAGGAGCAAGCTTTGCATGCTTGTTAGTGCTAGCAAAGGACCAATCAGATTTAGAGAATCCATTAGTCGGAAAGAGTTTTCCTTTCTCTTCACTTTGATGTGCACATTGCTATGTGAATTTTGTAGAGAGCTTGTTGATTCCTCTGCGCACCGAAATTTCCGAAAAACTCATTAAATCAACCTCCAGCATAGGGACCTGTCACCTCTTTAGTTCAACACTTTAACCAACACTAACAGCGCGATTGACATACAAGACCTCTTCATTAAAACAAGGAGAGGGGGATCCGGAAGTCTCAGATTGATTGACTGAGTGGTTTAGAAGAAACACTAGATCTAAGCAACAGCGAAAAATCGTCGTGAAAATACTCGTAGTATCAGCATCCTCCGTATCAGCAGCCTCGTATCAGTGACTCGTATCAGCGGATCCTCCGTATCACCGGCTCGTATCAGCGGATCCTCCGTAGTATCAGCATCTTCCGTATCAGTGGCTCGTATCAGCGGCTCGTATCAGCGGCTCATATCAGCATCCTCCGTATCAGCACCTCTTCCGTATCAGCACCTCTTCCGTATCAGCAGCCTCGTATCAGCAGCCTCGTATTAGCAGCTCCTCCGTATCAGCAGCCTCGCGTCCTCCGTATAAGCAGCCTCGTAAATAGTTCCTTTTTGGTTCCAGGTGGAACTAAGTGACAGCTTGGGCTCCAGGGTGTCGCTCTGTTCTTCACGTAGGCCTATGTAGAAATAATACCAGAAAAAGGCTGTCACGCGATATTTGACACCACAACCGTACCCACCTAGTGGTGCTTATTGAACACGCTCATTTTGTACATATTTAGTGTTGTAGTCAAAGGAGTCATCATAAAAAAAATAGAGGTCCAGAATCTACGACTGGTTCGTAGATTTGCTTTTGAAAATATGCTCAATAAATTGTTGTTCTCTACTAAAATTGACATGTTTTAAAATCGTCGTCGTCAACTAGAAGTCAGGACAGCAAGAACAGAGATAGCGAAGAAAGCAAAATCGCATTCCCTCTCAAAGACGAATTTACACCGTCTTCGTCAATGATCAATCGTAGCAACGAGAATGAAGGTGATAACGCAGAAATGCGCAGCTGTTTTCTCTATGCATATTAGTTTTTCTTCGTCGTGAATGTCCGCAGATCGGGACAACGAGAAGGTGAGTGGCGGAGAAGATAGAAAACTGTATCAATGGAGAGATTTTGATCGACAGAAGCTAACATGAAGGGATATAGGCCTGAGATCGGATCACGTTGATCCACGGATGCTGGATACAATTCGATCAGCTTCTCGACTATAGCATGCCGTGCCGATTGCAACTTCGCGCGCGGGAAAGCATTTCCCCCATTGGTATCATCCTCACCAGAGTGGTCTAGCACATAGTGCAAGGGCAAGCGACCATCTCGACATTTGGCTTTGCATTGATCTGCAGATTTTCCTAGCAACTGAAACACAAATGATCTCCAATCGTCAACTGCGTTTTGAGTTGATAAATTTCGACTCAACGTTACGCTGAAACGAAGAGCATGATGAATGGGGAGCATATTTAGTCGATCTTTCTCTAACACTTCTTGTGGTCGCAGCCAAAGGAATAGTTGTAATATTGGAAGAGGAAGAGAAGGAGAATATGGTGTACCTAGTGTACATGACTCAATAAGTCTCGAGCGGATCATTCCTTTCGAATCCAAGATAGGTCCAGAAGTGGCTGCTGCTCTGATAAGGAGTGATATCCGATCCAAAAGAGAGCCAAAGGTCGCCTTCGCCTCTGCCTCTCTACTGCTCAACTCGGATTGGCATCTGCTGCATGCTGCATCATGGTTCTCCATCATCTGGGCTACCGACTCCTTCAATAACCCTCTATAGTACTCATCTTCTTTGAAACAATGATTTCGTACTCCGGTCGCCTCCACAGGGTAAAATGGCCGAGCAGTATAGACGTCATTTCCCAACTCATTATGACGGATCCATTCCAGATCTATAGGAGTATAACCCGACTGATTTGTCGACCATATGAAACGATCTCTTTTGACAAAGCTTTGCCGACTCATTTGTTCGACGATACTTTCACTAGACGATATACTTGCTGTCCGTTCCACTATTAGACATAGTACTTTAAACGGGACGCCAACACTGCAAGCAACATGGATTGGCAAATCTCCATAGAGATTTCTAGCCCGTAACATATCGCTGTCTTGATCTCTTTCCAACAATTCGTGGATCAAAGGTTCGTAGTTTCCGTAATTTCTTAGAGCTATGTGCAAGGGAGTACATTTTGTGACGTGGGAGAAATGGTGTAGAAGACTGGGATCGTCATCTAGGAGAAGTATGGCGGCGCTTAGCACTCGTTGCGAATGCAACAAATTATGCTTGTACTCTGGCGAAAGCCGGCTGGAAAATCGGACTGGTGGACCCGAGCCCGATAGCGAAGTGTTTGATGAGTTTCCCGTGGTAAGAAGTCGAATCAACGGAGACGTGCTATTTTCAATGGATCGAGCCGTTTTCGATTTTGCGCGAAGAAATTCCTCCATCATGGCAATGGAATGTGCCGTGGAACCAAGTTGAATTGATGCAGTCAGATGATCTATCGGTAAGAGTCCATTTATATCTCTAAGGTGAAAAGAGATGTCTCCACCCATGCACCTCGACATTGTCCGAATCATGATACCGAAAATCTCAAGCGTGCAACTGTCGTTCAGGATCGCGTCTCTCAAAGGCGTATGGCCAGCAACATACTGGCTGGCACCGACCTGGAGAGGATTCGCGTTTAAGAGAGCCAGAATTGCGGTTTGAGCCTCGTCTGTTCCCATATCTTTCGAAGCACACACGATGCCAAGAGCACTTTTACGGAAAATAGTTGGCTGACAATCTTCCCCACCAAACCGTTTGACTAGGTACCGTTTCCTCGATCGGCTTTGGAATTCGTTGCTCTTCCATGAAATACGGTGATTCATTGGAACCAAAGAGGCCTCCTCTGGGTAGTCCTCACAGCGGCGAACTACATCGGTCCATTGCTCTGCTCTGCAGAGTTGCAGAAGGCAGCTTTCAACGTAACAACTCTCAATCGTTGCGTGTTCGTGCTTGCGCTTCATCGGTTTCTGCATCTTTCGTGCCAGTGGATCGGGAAGACGCAACGGCGTGGCTGATTGCAAACGAGGATGCGTCGTGGTAGCCACAGTCTGTGAGTAATATCTGGGGTGGTCGGGGGCGAAGAACACCGCGTGATAGTTGGAGCTATGGCATTGTTCCATTCTCGCATTCACAACGCAGATGCCGCTTTGCAAACAGTTCAGCGTTGTGCGAGTGGTCCTTTCTCCATCGATAAACCCCACTGCGAAAAGTCCCAGGAAATGAGCTATCCGTGACCGTCCCTTGATGGACACCAAAAACGAACATGCTTCCGAGTTTCAAAACATGAGATCGTTGTCGCGTTTTCGTGTATCACTAGGATTTTGGCGGAAATCTGGCGATTACGGAAAACGCATCGCTCAATATTATTTATTTTTTGAAGCACACCATTAGGCAGGGGTCATAATTTAGAGGGGTGTGCAACGCGCACGTTTTTCAGCAGCAGGATGAAAAAAATTCCATTCCATCCGTGGTACCAATAAGAAAAATTTCCCATAAACTTTTTTTTTCCATTTTATTTTTACTGCATAATACTAGTAAAACTATTCAACTTGTGAGTAGTCATAACTTTATCAAAAATACCACTATAATAATTTTAAACTATTGCACCTATACCA